CTATGAACAAATCTTGGACACGAACAAAAACACACACAACCAATCGAGCAAGATGTTACCCTTGTCCTTGATTTTTTTCATCTTCTTCGGGTCGTTCTCGGGCTCTTTCAGCGCCTTGATGACCAGCGTGGCGATGGAGAACACTCTAGGGAGCTTCACCTGTTGTTTGTGGATCATAAGCTTGATGGTTATGCGAAGGCCCTTCCAGTCCATGGCGGACGAACACTGTCAACCACCTGCGGTAGATCGAACTTCAGCGACATTTTTTCAGACAGGGATCTGTCAGGCTAGGGGTTCGAGCGGTGGGGGAGCAGAGGAAAGAACGGTTAAAATAGGGTTTGTGTTCCTTTTTGATTGTTGGATACTAAAAATTTTCTCATCTTCCAAAACGCCAGTGTGAAGATGGGGGCGTGTTTACCTGCTCCCGTCTCGTCTCCGATTTGCTTTGCAAGACAATTCTGCGAAAAAAGAACGGAAAGATTTTTCTTCATCTTTGACCTGCGGGAATTCAGGCAAAAGCAATTAGGTTTAATAATAAATGGAAAGAGAAAATCAAAATGGAGACGTTTTTGGGCAGAATGTCTCTACTGGTAGCAAGTGTGAAAAAAAAGGCAAAACCAAGAGTATTTTGGGTAGACCACCTGCTGCCCGTCAATGGAGGAACGACTGAAGGCTGAGATGGTGGTTTCGATGTGAACGGGCCGGCGTGGAGTTCTCTTCTCCGGCAGGCTTGAAGTGGACGGCTGAACTCACCGGAAAAGTACCGCTGCTGCTCATCGCGAACTGAGACTGGGTCTCTTCGTGGATGGTGATCTGACGGGATCTGCTTGTGGCTATCGGACTGAGTCTGCACCTCCGGCGATGGAAACTCGCGGCAGGGAAAGGCTGCGACAAGAGGCTTCTCATCCAGCTGCTTCTTGGTGCTCGCCGGCGAGAATTTGAAATCTGCGATGGAGGATCGACGGGGGCTGAGATGAGGGTGACGAAGGGTTGTGTTTAGGCGATAAAGTCTGGGATTTCTGATAAATTTTGGAGAAGTTCGATCGAATTACCATAACGTGAATAAAATTCTGATTTTTTTTAAGAGGGAAGAAATTGTGAGCTTGACGTTTTGGAGAGGAATAAGTCAAAAGGAGAGACTTGAGCAGGTGAGATTGATGTGAGAGGATTGCACGACCCGGAAGAAAAGGAAAACAATTGAAGGGCAAATCCATCGAAGAGCAGAAAAGATAAGGGTTTGATTGTTTATGAAATAATTTGTCCAAAATGAGTTATTTTGGTTAACTATAGTTAATTTGAAAAAGGTGGTATGGTTAATTGTTAGTGGAATTTTAAGAATGTATTAAAATAATATTTAAAATAAAATGATTAAAATTGATTTGATGTAAAAGTAAGAGATAAATGATTGGAAATGATTGGAAATGATAGGTAGTTAAAATTATGTGAGTAAATGAATAGTGAATTAAAGTTGATGTGATGTGTAAGATTGATTGATTTGTAATATTTAATTATGTGAATAATATTAAAGATAGTGGGATTGAGTTAAAGTTGAGTTAAATTTTGAGTTGAAATAAAAGTGAATAAATTAACTCATAAACAATCAAGTCCTAAGGCGGCCAGATTTCCTTCCCACTATACATAATCAGGTGGCATTTTTGTAATTACCAGGAAGAAGTAAGGTTATTATTGGATTAAATAATGGACACGTGTCAAACCCATAATCCCTAATACTTTTTCTTATATGTATGAGGGAGATATATATATAATTATCGTGGCGAGTTTAATAACATCTACAATGCTTTAGGTTTATTTAAAAAAATATATAGATCTCGGTTTCATAGTCCTTGTAAATGTAGAAATTTTTTGTTGGGATCAATGTTTTAAAAACCGTACCGGTCGTCATACCGGTGTAGCGACCGGTATGCGGTATTACCGGTACGACCGGTATTACCGTCTATTTTACTGGTTTTAATAAATATTAAATTAATTTGTTATTATTATGTAAATAATATGCAAAACTAACTTTAATTAATATTAAAATAAATTAACATCTAATAACAATATAAACATATTAAAGTTAAGTGTAGAAATTTTAATTTATATAAATAAAATAATAAAAATCTATTAAAAATATTTTTTTTTTAAAAAAATGGCATAAACCGGTATTTTGACCGGTATTTTGGCCGGTATTTGCCGGTAAAACCGGTATTTTCCGGTACGAAACTGGTGTTTTGGCTAAAACGGTATTTTGAGTGTAAATGTACCGGTCGGACCACCGGTATCCGGTATTACCGGTAATACCGGCCGGTACGAACCGGTATTTAAAACATGGGTTGGGATACTCAC